TTTTTCATTTCATATTTTTGAAGGTCACAGGCTGCAAGCAGCAAAGGAAAAAAAATGAAAAAATAAAAATAAATTGAAGGCTTGAAGGCCACAAGAAATTCAAAATCAGTGTTTATGCAGCTTTCTGCATCTGAAATTCCCCCAAGAAACTTTCATTTTGCAGCCTGGGGGTCATTTTTGGGGCGGATATCCGCGGTTATCCGCGCGGATACCCGCCAGCGCCAGCCGGTATCCGCCAGGGGATGCGGATGTCTGATTTGGCTGAAAACGTGAGGGGATATCCGAATCCAAACGGATATCCGGATGCGCCGGGCCCATCTCTAGTTTGGGCATGGTTTTTGGGCCCGAGCCCAGCCCATTGACAGCCTGAGATCCATATGGGCTGGGATCAGGCCAAAAAATGATACCCAAACCCTGCACAGCAAACTCTTAGGACAAGACAAAAATTGCCAAAAGCTGGCCAAACCTGGCCCAATTTTAGAGATCTCACTTCTTACCCAGGTACCCAAAGCAGGTGCAGGTTACCCATCACAACAATACAATATTATGAACACCCACACCTTCCATCACAGGTACCTGCGGGTTTTTAGGATTTTTTGCTGGCAAACAAGCCCAGAAATCTCACCTTTGTATTGCTGCATGACTAGATATACAAGCAACATTGACTAGATATATGACTGACATGGAAATGATTGAAAAAAACTATTGCACCTCATCTTCTCTCGATCTATCTTTAGCTTTACCCTGTTGCTTGGCTTCATTTGCCTTATTCAACTTCCATTTATGCAATACCCCAGGTTTTATTTTCCCATTCTTGGAGTTGGATGCCATGACCATACCTTAAGGGACTGATGAAGGGCTGAGTTGGTGCCTCCTGAGGGAAACATACTGCCTTCCAAAGCTGAAAGATTGCTTGACATCCACCACATTGCCAGGGCGGGTGTAAGGCAGGTACCTGCCTGTCTTTTCACCTCAAATGTTGCCACCTGCACCCATTCCCAGCACCGTTTCCAGGTAAATGGTACCTGGTGACATCTGTAAGTTCAGTCCTGGTTTCAAGGGCTTTTCACTCGGAAAGGGACCCAAACATGTGGGTCATGAAGGAAAGGATTCCCAAGGAAAAATGTATCTTGCAAGTCTGCAAGAGAAAAACAAGGTATCACACACATTGTGTTGTGGTTATGTGCTTGAAAAAATCTGTGAAAATCTGTGACAGAATGGCCACATTTTTGGATGGTTTTCATAGGAAATCTAACAGTCTTCCAAAATGGAAAATTTATCATCCAGTACAACTTTTACTCAATTTCTGCACCCTGTTGGTCATTGGAAAATGGTTAAGAGAAGACTGTAACCTTTAGAGATGTCACTTGGAACCTACCAGCGGGTACCCACCACAACTTCAAACAGTTACCTGGACATTTCCAGCCACCAGCTGTGCATTTGAAGAATGTATTACTGTCCAAGAAACAGTTCTGCGTGCTCCACCTTAAAAGCTGGTGGATGGGAGTGTCCAGGGCACCTTCTGAAAGTGTAGCAGTTACCTGCCAGCGGGTGCCAAGTGACATCTCTTGTCACCTTCTCCCAGAACTCCACTTACCCCATAATTTTTGTTGAGTTTTTGTATTGTTGTGGACCCTGCGCGCCCCACAATCAAGGTGTGCATCACAATGATGA